TTCACAATAGAATCAAATCATAAACAATAAGTTTAATGAATATAAAATAAATCAACTACACTTTTAAATCATTCAAAAATCATAGTCCTATGGCAGGTGTCAAAATTATTGACTGATTTAAGATGTAGGTTGATTTTGGTAAAGTAGGGTCTCTCAGGTTCTCAAGTTAGTCCAGCATATATGTCTCTTTGGGCTTCCATTAACTTGAAGAAATGGTTGTTATGCTCATCTTTGTAGAAATATTTCTTGTTTCCAGACTCTCAGGAACGTCTTTGGGATGTGCGGTGCTTCATTAAGAGCTTAAGATCGTCTCTTATGTCATTGTTGCACCATTCATTATTCGAGCCGCCTTTTTTAGGTTTTCAACTCGAATCCGCCTTTGGTTTCAAAATGTTATTTAAAAATTTACATCTTGAACCCCCCTTTATCATTTTTCATATCATGCATTAAAGATTTTAAAAACCAATTTTTGCAAATAAAAATCAATCTTGAGAGGCGGAATGAATTCTGAAGATATTCCCTTTTAATGCCTTCAATCTTGCTTTGCTTGACTTGGATCTGCCTTGCTGGGGATTTTTCCATCATGGATCCCTCTAGACTGTCAATTTGGGTTCATTTCAATTTTCTCATATCTTCATTTTCTTGCTCTTCTTGTTTGAATATGAATCTTTGACTTAATTGTACTTGATCCATCTTGTAACTTGAGGCTCCATGAGTCACCTATCTTGCCTATCTTGATTCAATTTCTCCCTTTTTCCTTTTTTTTTTCATCTTTTTTCTTTTTTCCTTCTTCTTTCTTTGCTGGATGAGTATAAGACTTCAATTTCTTTGAGCGTCTCCTTTTCCTTTTGTCATTTTTCTCTCGAGCATAATATTTCTTGACAGAATTTGAGTTTATTTGGTTTCTCATAACTTTCCCATCCATTTTTGCCAAGATCAACGCTTCTCGGGAAAAGGCCCTTTTTATAACATAGGTCCCTTCCCAATTAGGCATCCATTTCCCACGGAAATTTTTATGTAAAGGCAATACTAGATCACACTCTTAGAACTCTCTCGGATGTACTTCCTGTTCGTGATCTTTCATCGTTTATTTTTGATACATCTGCCCATGTCAAATAAATTTCAATTGGTTCTCATCAATAAGGTTTAATTGATCAAATCGAAATTGGATACATTCAGTCTTCTCCAATTTTTCCTCCTTTAGGATACAAAATAATGGGATCTCAACTTCAATTGGTAATACTGCTTCCATCCCATAGACTAAACAATAAGGTGTTGCCCTAGTAGATGTTCGCACAGTAATTCAATATGCATATAAGGCAAAAGGTGGCTTCTCGCGCCAATCCTTGTAAGTTTCAGTGGTCTTTGTAATGATCCTCTTAAGGTTCTTATTTTCTCCTGCAACTGCCCCATTCATCTTTGGGCGATATGACACTGAGTTGGCATGCTTGATTTGTACGCGAAGTTTAGTCATCTCATACATAGAGGTCCTTGTAAAAAGAGGTATCTCCAGGGGGATGAATATTCAAGATTAACTTTACTTACATGAAAAAATGTAATTAATGCATGATATTTATTTCAATCAATCACTTTTTCCTTCTTCTTTGAGTATGCCCTAATCACTCGAAATCATCTTCAATGATTGGTCCATGTTGCCTCATCTCGTCTCTTCTTGTAGTAAGATTCGTAGATAATGAAAGTTTGGTTCTTTTGAGGTTTTGGTTTATGATGGTTTTGTGTTTGGAAGGACAAATGGTGACTTTGAAGTCATGTATATGGTGTAAGGTAGTATCAACTCTATCCGAGAAGGTAAACATCTAGAGTCGGTGTCTCAAAATAGGTAGAGACATTACTTCAGATTCTCAGATAAATGTAGTGTCAGAATTTGGTTTTGGTAAGGGCCGAGCTATTGGCTTTGGATGGGATATGGAAGATATAATTTTACCACTTGCCAAAGATCTATAACTCTTGAAAAATTAAAAGAATATTTATATACTTGATACTAATCTCAAGATTAAAACTTGATTCCTTGCTCGTAACCATAAAAGTAACACAGATTTATTTATTGCACAAAAGGCGGAGAAAGGAACAAAAAACAAGTTCAAACAAGATGCTGAAAATGAAATGCAACTGTGGTAGATAACAACTTCCACTTATTTATCTAACTGTCCCATTGCTCTTAGAATATTGGGTGTGTGATCAGCTCATGGTCCTTGTCCTCATTTGCTCCCCATTTCTCGACCATTTCACTTTCCATGACTCCTTTCGATGTACCCTCAGACGTACAAATTTGTGCTTCCTCCTGAGCAGCTTCTTCGTAAAATCCCAACTTCTTGTCATTCATCAGTTTTTCCTTCCCTGATTCTTTTCTTCTCGCCGGTTAGGAGCTAGTCAACGGGGAGGTTCTCGGTTAGGGGCTTGCTTGGTTGATTTTAGGGGATAGATGTCGAGAAATGGGTTCTTTAAGATAGGGGTTGTTTTGTTGTTGGTTTGAGAAGGTAGTCAGAAGTAAAACGGCCACCGATCTGTGATGGCTGGCCTAAGTTGAAGTCCTTAAAGCCTTCGATCGAAGAGGATTTAGGAGAAGCTCTAGACCGATTAAGGTTTGATCGTGTGCTTTTCTAGTGTTGATTCGTAGTGGTCTGAACAAAAGTGGCCACCGTTAGGCGGTAGCCGGATGGCCTCGGCGGCTATTGGATGTATAGAAGACCATAGAAAGCGCAGATTGTGTGAGAGAGTGGCTTGAGAGAAGAGGATTCGGTTGAATGTGAAATGGGGGCTAGGGTTCAGAGTTTTCAACTAAATCTTATGTATATTATTACTTGAATACGACGTCATTTGGTGTCAGTCTAACCTGCGTATTTTTAAAAGAGGGGACATTCCTCTCCGTGGTCCTTTGTACCTTACGTTTATTCATTTTAGTCCCTAGATTAAAATTTTCATGTTTATAATTTCATTCTTTTATTTTATGCGCACTTAATTTTCGTCCTAAATGTTGATGTATTTGTTTTCTTTTTTTAGACATTAGAGTTCCAACTTTTACATGTTATATTTCGGTCTTGAATATGTTTGGATGATTTCAGCCATTATGATAACAGTGGTTTGATTTTAGTTTCAGTAATAAAATGGTTTGATGTTTGTTTTACTTCCATTATTTTTATTTTTTATAATTAAAATGAATTTTTTTTATTTATTAATATCTAATTTAAACAATTTACTTAATTTATGAAATTTACATTTTAAAAAAGTGTTTTGTTTCTTTTCTTTATTTAATAATTTGGTGTATTACATATTAATGTATATATAGATTATAATGTATAGTTATAAAATATGTATAAATTTTCGTTATTAAATATTATTGCATGATAGTTTTTCATATATTATTTATTAATTAGATAATCATAAATTTGTTTAATTTTTGCATTAACATCATTTTGCATAATATATATGTTATCCTCATGTGCATAATTCGACTCCTCTTACATAATTTGATTTCTATTACTTTTATTTTTATCATATAAGTATGTTTATATATATTTATTATCTTTATAATTTGGTCTATGTCGTTTATATATATTATATCATATTATTCATATATGTGTATATATATATATATAATTAATTTACCTTTGTATATTTATATATATTACTAACGTCTATTTTATTTTGTTTGACTTTATTTATTTATTTCATTTTATAAGATGCTTAATTTATATTCGAATTGCGTTTTTTAATCATTGAGGAGGGAATATTCTTTATGGATAAGAAATAGTCGAAATATTTTTCCAATAGATAATTGCTAATCTCGAAATTTCTTTTAAGTTAAAGAATTTTTCCTAATATTTAATTCGAAGCAAGTTAATTAAATTTCAATAAATGGATCATAATTTAATTTTATATTTGATTCATGATTTCCATCATTTACGACGTATAAGCGACACAGTACCAATTTTGGGCGTTGTGGGGGTGCTAATCCTTCCCCACGCGTAACCGATTCCCGAACCCGTTTTAATAAAATCTTTGGTAAACGCAGACCAATTTTTGTCTAAAAAAATGATTTTTCTTAAAATTATTTTTAAAAGACATTTTTAGGTATTCGACCTACCTAACTTAAAGGTTGATGGAGACTCTATCCAATTTAATTCAAATTCACCCATTTTCCAAAATTAAAAGTCGTAATTGTTTTTAAAACAATTAATCGATTGTCCCCGTCGAAAAACGGTTACGACACATTTCAATAATGACATGTGTAACCATCTAATTGAAGAGTTTTTAATTAATTTAATTAATTTTCTCACCAATTAGGTGGTGACATATATCACTGCCAATTTAAAGAGAGAGAAATGAGAGGAAACATTTATTGTTAAAAGGAATTGAACCAAAAGCATCAAGCTTTCAGGATCACACCTCACCACCTAATTGGTGGGAAAATTAATTGAATTAAATATTAAATTAAATTAAAAAAACTCTCTAATAAGGTGTGACACATATCACTATTGAAATGTGTCAAAATAACTTATTGACATGTTGCACCTCCTGATTAAATGATTAATTTAAATTAAAACTCTGACTATAAATTAATAGAATGTGTAATTATTGAGAATTAAATATGTAACTATATCAATCTTATTAACTACAATGTCATCACTTCTATCAAATATTAATATAAGTGACAATATTAAAACCAATTAAATAGTTAAGTGATTAAATTGATGAAATTTTTAAAATAATGACTATATTGACACCAACCCTATAGATAGATGGTCATCCATGTAATTTACCTTAATATGAAGTCATTTCCTTCTCAAGATTCAAATATATATTTTTTTAAATATAAATTCAATTTTTAATGTTTACATTTTTCTTTTATCAATTTCACTTTTATCTTTTTTTTTCAATTAAATAGATTAAATTTTAGATTTTAGATTAAATAGATTAAATTATAGATGGATGATCATCCGCGTCTTACCTTACGTAGCGCCAGTTCAAATAAAACACAGATGGTAATTCGTGCTTTTTTTGACGTGACGTTAATTCGGACAGAACTCCGTAAAGACGCAGATGATAATCCACGCGTTGTGAGAAACAATATTACATCAGTAATATTAAGAGAAAAAATATCTGATAAATAATTATTAAGTTAACGGATGATATTTCGATAAAAAGGCCTAAAGAAAGTCGTCCCCAATGCTACAAGTCTAACGAAAACGCGTTCAGTCTCTTCCAGGGTCAATAAAAGGCACCAATAATAATGTTACTCTTTATTTCTTACCAGAATAAACAAGCCAAGCCAAGCTCCCCTGTTATTTTTCTCTCTTTTGCTTCAATCATACTCTTTCATGGCTTCTTCTTCCTCTTCTCCTCCAATGAAATATCAAGTTTTCTTGAGCTTTAGGGTGAAGACACACGTCTTAACTTCACCTCTCATCTACACCAAGCTTTGAAGGGGAAGGGATTTGGTGTCTTCTTCGATGAAGAATTGCAAAGAGGGGAGCGTATTTCACCAGCACTTTCTCGAGCAATTGAAGCATCGAGACTCTCCATCATCGTTTTGTCTAAAGACTATGCTTCTTCAAAATCATGCTTGGCTGAACTCTCCGAAATCATGGACCGCAAGGAAACTCATGGTCAAATTGTCCTTCCCATCTTTTATCATGTTGATCCCTCTGACGTTCGGAATTTTGGTGGCAGTTTCAAAGCATCCTTTGTTGTCCATGAATCAGATAGGCCTCGTGAAGTGGAGCGATGGAAAGCTGCCTTTGCTGAAGCCGGTAATTTAAAAGGGTGGCATATAAAAAGGGGAAAATCTGACAGGTAACTGTATTTTCACTCATCTCTTTATTTGACTTTATCTTTGGTTTAACTTTTATTTTTCTTATTATCTGCCAGATCTGAAGCCGAGTACATTAATGATATTATTGAATATGTATTAAATAAGTTGATGAATAGTTATTCTGGAAGTGCTTCTGAAGAATTTATCGGAATAGATTATCAGAAAAAGAAGATTTTGGAGCTGATTAAGCAAAATCGAGTAATAGGACTCTGGGGCATGGGTGGTATTGGCAAAACCACTCTTGCTGAGGTTGTTTATATGGAAGTCCGTAACACGTTTGAAAGTTGCTGCTTTCTTCAAGATGTTAGAGAGAAAATAGAAAAAAAAGGGAAGGAATCCGTGCGAAACGAATTTCTTTCCATACTTTTAAAGGAGAAAGAAATTCGTATAGACACCCCTTTCATCAGGGAGAGGCTGAACAATATACGAGTAATTGTTGTCCTCGACGACGTTAATGACCCAGAACAAGTAGACAGGATGGGTGTTAAAGATTTTGGTGATGGAAGTAAAATCATTCTAACGTCTAGAGATAGACAAGTGCTTAAGAATGGAGGAGCTACCCAAATACATAAGGTGGAAGAGTTAAATCCGAAGTATTCTCTTCAACTTTTTTCTATTACTGCATTTAAGCAGTTGAATCCTTCTGTTGATTTTCTATATCTATCCTACGAGTTTGTATGGTTAGCCCATGGCAGTCCACTTGCTCTTAAGATTTTGGGTGCTAAGCTATATTCAAAGTCTATAGAAGAGTGGAAAAGTGAGGTGGAAAAAGTAAACAGGTTTGATGAACCAAAAATTTCACACATTTTGAAGAGTAGTTTTGATGGGTTGGGTAAACTACAGAAGGATATATTTCTCGACTTAGTATGCTTCTTTAAAGGGGAATCAAAAGAAAAAGTAGAAAAAATTCTAAGTCGCGTGTATAGAGGTGCAGTGAGTGGACTAAGCAGCTTGCTCGACAAGTGTCTATTTGATATCAATTCTGATGGGCAGATTTCTATGCATGATATGCTTGAAGAAATGGGTAAAGATATTGTTGATCAAGAATCTAAATACCCTGAAGAGCGTAAAAGGCTGTGGAATCCTAAGGACGTGTATCAAGTGCTCAACAATAATAAAGTAAGAGTTGTTTGTATTTATATTCATTTTGCCCTTTCGTATGATGTCCTATGGTTCAGTATCACACTATTTATATATATATACACACGCACACACACACACTTGATATTATGTAAAATATATGTTTTAGGATATAGCATAGGATCTGCTCTAGTGTTTGTTGGGTTAGTTACATATCTAATGCACTGCTTTTATATAGAAAGACAATAAAAACAAACATGTTTAATGATATGTCCAATTAGTGTAAGCATTTCCTAATATAATTGCATTTTATTTACGATTTAACTAGAATGCATGTAATCTTTCTTATACTAATACTCTGGTAAATTGTTTTTTTATGTCAGGGAACTGACCGAATTGAAGGAATAAAGTTCGACATGTCTCGTAGTGATAACCTAAAGTTACGTCCTACATGTTTTGAGAGCATGCCTAATCTTAGATATATCAAATTTGATGTCCCTGAATTTCTAAGGAGTTGGTTTGAGAAATCACTTACAAATGGAGATATTGATATTGTATATCTTCCAAATGAGTTAAAGTGTCTTCAGTGGAAGTGTTACCCCTTCAAATCTTTATCACTAAATTTTAATCCAAAGAATCTTGTAGTGTTGAATTTATCAGGGGGCAATATGGAACAACTTTGGAATGAAGATTTTCAGGTATATGCTTTTATGCTTCCTTCATCTAGGAAGATCCCTAATCTAATGCTTACAAGTAAATATGTTATGCGACTAGAGTAAATAGATAATGCTTACAAGTAATACAATTATTTTATATGTTTTTTGTACAGGATCTTGTTAATTTAAGGGAAATCAACGTTTCTTTTTGCGTGAAGTTAAGGAAGATCCCTAATCTATTAGGAGCCATCAACCTCGAAATCCTTGACTGTAAGTGTTGTACAAGTTTGGTCGAACTTCCTGAACTCCCAAAGATGTTGAATCACTTAGATTTATCGTTAACTAAAATAGAAGTGCCTGATTCAATTGAGCATCTGGACAGACTTGAAACATTGTATTTGAGACGTTTTCCAATTGTCAAATTCCCAAAAATTCCAAGAAAGGTATATCTCTTAGACTTATCTGAAACTCAAATTTTAGAAGTGTCCTTTTCTTCAGAGCCTTCAAATAATCTTCAACAGTTGAAGATGACAAATTCCAAGAGCCTCAAACTACTCTCAGAGCTTCCATCAAACCTGAAGTACTTGGATACACATGGTTGCATATCATTAGAAAGTGTATCTTTCGCTGATCGAAATTTCTATTCTTTTGATGATGAAAGAGACTACACAATGATATTCTCTAATTGCTTCAGCTTGAATCAAGATTCAGTTGATAACATCGAGACAAATGCCATGCTTCAAATTCAATTCCTAGCGGAGAAATGGGCATCAAGATATGATCATGAGTTCTCGATTAATCCCGAACCAAATTTGTTTTATTGTTTTCCGGGAAACAAAATTTCAGCAGATAGATTTGAGTATCATAGCATGAATTCTTCATTAAGTTTGAAGATAGCCACAAGGGGGAGTAGTGGGAGAAGATTATTAGTTTTTGCTATATGTCTTGTGGTCGATCTCACTGACTGCGATAGCTTTGGAAATCTTAAATTTATCTGTGAATATCAACCGTTAGTCGCCAATGGTAATGATGGTGACGGTGGTTTTAAAAAGTTCAAAAGTAAATTATTTTTCAGGGAAATTGATTGGAAGATTTATGAGAGCAAGGGTGATCATGTTTTCATTCTATGTGGGAAGGATATGGTTAAAGAAGACCAGAATTATGTGGAGGCATCGTTTCAATTCTACATCAAACATCTCTCATTCATTAAGAATAAAGAAAAACATATCAAAGTGAAGAAATGTGGAGTTCATGTAATTTACGTGGATGCAGAGAGTTACACCATTACTGATGTTATGAGATATGATAAATCCAACCTCAATTTTGATTCTCAAGGAGATGCTAATACTATGGAACCCCATCACCATTCAGCTACAGAAACAAGCACAAGGAGATCAAAGCGGCACAGGGTCACAGGTGATTGGAACTTAGAAATACATTTGCTTCTCTATCACATCTGATAACTGCACAAATAAATTAGTATTAGTTAATCTCTTCTTATATCATTATACAGGGCATTGATCATGTTGTTGCTGGCACTAGCATCCATGTAGTTGGTCCTGATGATGATGATGTGGAAGATCTCGAAGAAGATATGCAATCAGTCATGAGTAGGATTGACAAAAGTGGCAAAGTGTTCTACATGAAGGTATAAGACAATGAAAACATCATAAGTAAATATTCATGTTAGTGGTATCGACATAGGCCCTGTACACAAATAAGACATAATGAAGGGATTAAACTAATGCTGATTGACGGAAGGAGTGGGTACTTGTTGTTGGTGTGAATCGGTTAGCCCATGGAACTCCACTTGCTCTTAAGATTTTGGGTGCTAAGCTATATTCAAAGTGTATAGAAGAGTGGAAAAGTGAGGTGGAAAAAGTAAACAAGTTTGATGAACCAAAAATTTCACACATTTTGAAGAGTAGCTTTGATGGGTTGGATAAACTACAGAAGCATATATTTCTCGACGTAGTATGCTTCTTTAAAGGGGAATCAAAAGAAGTAGAAAAAATTCTAAGTTGCTTGTATAAAGGTGCTGTGAGTGGACTAAGCAACTTGCTCGACAAGTGCCTATTTGACATCAATTCTTATGGGCGGATTTCTATGCATGATATGCTTGAAGAAATGGGTAAAGATATTGTTGATCAAGAATCTAAATACCCTGAAAAGCGTAAAAGGCTGTGGAATCCTAAGGACGTGTATCAAGTGCTCAACAATAATAAAGTAAGAGTTGTTTGTATTTATATTCATTTTACCCTTTCATATGCTACATATCTAATGCACTGCTTTTATATAAAAAAGCATTTCCTAATATAATTGCAGTTTATTTATGATTTAATTAGAATGCCTGTAATCTTTTTATACTGATACTTTGGTAAATTATTATTTTTTACATTAGGGGACTGTTCGAACTGAAGGAATAAACTTCGGCATGTATCAAGTTGATAACTCACAGTTAAGTCCTACATGTTTTGAGAACATGTCTAATCTTAGATATGTCAAATCTGAAGTTACATGGAGTTGGACGGAGAAACCACCTACAAATGGAGTTGATATTGATATTGTATATCTTCCAAATGAGTTGAGGTATCTTGAGTGGAGCTATTATCCCTTCAAATCTTTACCACTAAATTTTAATCCAAAGAATCTTGTAGTGTTGAAATTACAAGATGGCAACATGGAACAACTTTGGAATGAAGATTTTCAGGTATAAGCTTTTGTTCTTCCTTCATCTAGGGAAAAAATTATCTATAATTAAGTATAAAAGATTTCTAAAATAAATATAAAATGTTGTTCGTACAGGATCTTGTCAATTTAAGGGAAATCGACGTTTCGTTTAGCAAGAAGTTAAGGAAGATTCCTAATCTATTAGGAGCTATAAACCTCAAAAGTCTTGACTGTAGTTGGTGTGAAAGTTCGGTTGAAATTTCTGAACTCCCAAATATGTTGCATTACTTAAATTTATCATTCACTCGAATAGAAAAAGTGCCTGATTCAATTGAGCATCTTGAAACATTGGATTTGAGCTGTTGTCCAATTGCCAAATTCTCAAAAACTCCAAGAAATCTTCGAGAGTTGAGAATGACCGAGTGCAACAGTCTCAAATCACTCTCAGAGCTTCCACCAGATCTGATGTATTTGAATGCAAATGACTGCATGTCATTAGAAAGTGTATCCTTCACTGATCGAACTTTCCATTCTTTTGGTGGTGAAAGTGACTTGTTTATGGTATTCTCTAATTGCTTCAGCTTGAATCAAGATTCAATTGATAACATTGAGGCAAATGCCATGCTCAATATTCAATCCCTAAGTGAGAAATGGGCATCAAGATATTATAAGGAGTTCTCGCCGGATCCCCTGCCAAAACTGATTTGTTGTTTCCTGGGAAATAAAATTTCAGCAAATAGGTTTGAGAATCATAGCATGAATTCTTCCTTGAATTTGAAGATAGCCCCAAGTGGGCGTAGTGGGAGCAGAGTGTTGGTTTTTGCTATATGTCTTGTGGCCGATCTAACTGACAGCGGTCGCATTGAAGATCTTGAATTTATCTGTGAATATCAACTGGTAGCCGCCAGTGGTAGTGATGGTGGTTTTGGAGAGTACAAAAGTGAGTTATTTTGCGAGGCAAAGCATTGGACAAATGGTATTTTCATGGGTGATCATGCGTACATTCTGTGTGGTAAGGATATGGTTAGAGAAGACAAGAATTATGAGGAGGCATCATTTCAATTCTGCATCAAACATAGCACATTCAATGAAGAAGAATATATCGAGGTGAAGAAATGTGGAGTTGATGTAATTTACGTGGATGCAGAGAGGTGCACCATTACTGATGTCATGAGATGTGATAAATCCAACCACAATTTTAATTCTCAAGAGGATGCTAATACTGAGGAACCCCATCACCATTCTGCTACAGAAACAAGCACAAGGAGATCAAAGCGGCACAGGATCACAGGTGATTGGAACTTAGAAATATATTTGCTTCTCTATTACATCTGATAACTGCACAAATAAATTATTAGTTAATCTCTTGTTATATCTTATGCAGAAACAAGAACGAGGAGATCAAATCGGCACAGGGTCACAGGTGATTGGAACTTAGAAATACATTTGCTTCTCTATTACATCTGACAACTGCACAAATAAATTAGTATTAGTTAATCTCTTGTTATATCATTATGCACGGAATTGAGCATGTTGTTGCTGGCACTAGCATCCATGTCGTTGGTCATGAGTAGAATTGACAAAAGTGGGAAAGTGTTGTGCATGCAGGTATATGACATAATGAAAACTCCATAAGTAAATATTCCTGTTAGAGGTATCGACATAGGCCCTGTACACAAATAAGACGTAATGAAGGGAAAAAGGAGTATGAATCTGAATTGCTCTGCACTGAAATTGCTGTCATTTACAAAGCGATATACCATTTTGAGAAACTGCAACCTTTTGTGATGGTTGTACATAAAATGGGAAATTTGTTCAATAATTTGTGATAGTTGCACCTAATTATTTTCTTCACCTGTCTTCTTTTTTAGGTATAGAATAGATCGTCCAAGAAGGAAATTGGCTTGGTTTTATTCATAGGAGCAATGGTGGCTGCAAGGAGATTCGGAATATGTTCTTGAACAATATCTGCTTTTTATTCCACCATCAACCATAGCATAAACTTGGATTAAACTTGGATTAATTACAAATTTGAAGTTTAAAATAGTTACACAATTTAGTGCTCTGCTTTATGCAGAATCGACATAGATGGAAGACTAACCATGATCCTATTGATACTATAGGGTACATGATATAGTTTATGGGGTCAAATTTATCATCAACCATAGCATAAACTGCAAATGATAAACAATAACCTACAACTACAATGGTGCCTTTCCAGAACTTATCATACAGAAAAAATAATAAAAACAACACTTGAATTGCAGCACCTGAGAAGTGAAATGGTAAAATCCAACATCCCACGATCGAAACACTGAATTTTGACACTTGATATGCAATACACATGAACGCCATTAAGATGAAAACGATCCCCGAGAGGAGAGAGAGAATTATTGATGCTGAAGAGGATGGGACAATAAAAGATATTGATTGGTGAAAGCATACTGCAAGAAACGCAAGTAGCACTTGAAGTGCTGTCCTGAAACCACGGGGAAAAGGTTTAAGCAGGGCTAGAGTTAGGAAAAAGGTTACGATGAACACGGCATAGGTCGGAATATAGAAAAGAAGAAACTGGGAAGGGTCCATGACAGATGTCCCCAGTTTCTTTGAGGCGTTTCCACCCTGCCAAACACCACCAGGCGGGCTAAGTGTGGCTTGGTACGTTGCAGTTAGAAGCAATCCTAAAATTACCAGTAATGCATTACGGTTCTCGCCTGATATATTATCCATATCACGGAAAATCAGTGACGATGCTTTGGTGACATAACTGGCGGTTTGTTTCTCCAACTTAGGTATAAACTTTGAAACAACTGGAATAAAGCAACCACGCAAAACAGTAATGCTTTCTGTGTAACCATGTTGTTGGGCAACACCCAGTGCCGTCAAACCAGCTTGATCAGTGGCATGCTTATCAGCCTTGCAGTTTAATAGTAGTTTAAGCATCTGTTTAATTGATAGTTTGAGATATAAAAAAGCTACATTAATCAATTAATCGTCTCTATAAAGTACAAAACAATCAATGTAGTATTAATTATTAACACTAAGGAGTCAAACCTGGGCCTCATTGCTGCTAGCTGCTATGTGCAGTGCTGTGTTGCCATTTTCATCCTTTCGATTCACCACTTCTCGATGATAGGCTGTCTTCATAAGTGTCCTAAGTAGGACTTGGAGAACATCTAGCCTTCTGTTTTCCACGGCTATATGCAAAGCAGTGCTATTTTGAGTTGTAACATCCAGGACACTATCAGGGCAAGCCTCTAGAAATCTATCGAGCAAGCCGTCCTGGTTTCCAACTTCACTTACATAGTGCAAAGGAGTCTTACCCTCCCTTCCTCTGACACGAACAAGATCTTTGTCGATCTCCAAAAAGCGTAGCGCCACCTCTTTATGGCCTCTTTGAACTGCAAGGTGGAGGGGACTCAAGCCTTGTTGGTTTAGCTTCTTAGCAAATGATGGCTTTAAGTTGATCATCTCCATTGCGAACCGCGTCCAGCCTTCTTCTGCAGCTATATGTAATGGAGTGTCGATAAACTCCACCTCATCAAAGTGCCTCAACACATTCCCATTTCCCTGAATTAGTGAATACAAATCACTAACATTTCCCATACGAGCAGCACTTGTCAAACTTCCAGCCATGTCGAGAGGTAGGATCAATTGACAATCGGAAGAGAGAACTTAAGTAATAAGAAACTGTTTCTATTCTACCATTACACAATTTTTAGTTATTAAAAAGTAATAAATATATCCTCAAATGTTTGAATCTTACACAAGATTGTGGTTATTTCTGTGTTAAAGCTTTGAAAGGATGGATTGTGTGGTTAAGGCAAAAAGATCAGAATTGGGATATAAAACATGTCCATCATGCATGTACGTGTGAAATGCCACGTGGCTCCAAAATTTGGGACCCATACTATGGAAAAAATATGTGAACTTAGATAAAATATTTTTCATTGGTAAGATTTAACAAAAAAAAATCTAATTTTCTCTATTATTATCTCAACAATTTAATTATGATCAATTCTTTCTAAAAGATCATCAAATTTATGGTGTTTAACGAACAAAAAAAATTCTTGTTTATGTCTATTCTAAATTTAATATTCTTAAATTTTAATATTTTATAATTTTACCTTATTATAATATATTTTAGAGATCTCATTTTAATAAAGTAGACATATTTTATGAGACGGATATGTGCGTGTGGAACCATGAAATTAATCCATTTGAAAAGTCTTTAACCAGCTTTTCACTCTTTAGCTAGACTTAAACATTGGCGATGACTTGAGCTTAGCCATTATCAACGAGTCAAGATAGTTGTTACATGAGGACATAAGAGAATCACATTTATTTAGGTAAACTATGCAGATAGTCCCCTATGTTATTGGTTTGATGACTTTGGTCATCAATTTGAAAATTAAGGGGGAATGGTCCCTATTGATCTGTTCGATTTAAGTCCATAACATTATCGATCCGTTCGATTTTAGTCTCTCAGTCGTTAACTCCAATGTGATTTTAGTCCCTTAGCCATGTTAGGGACTTAGACCAAAGAGACTTAAACAAAAGAGGTTTAACGAAATTTAATGGTCGAAGAACTAAAATCGAATGAATCGATAATGTTAGGATCATTCTCTTTTAATTTTTAAATTGATGACAAATCAAACTGAAAACATAGAGGACTATCCGCATAATTTAACCTTTTATTTATTGCTTTTACCGACAAAACTGAGAACCAATCAATATGCGTGTGGACCTTAGAAACCCCACCGCAATCAATTTCTTCATTTCTAACCTCTTTATATGTGTGAATTTCTAATGAAAAAAAGGAGACTGAGGTGAAGAATAGAGAAAGGTTGAAGAAGACACAGGGAAGTTGAATCCCTCTGTACTGTATCCATCAGTGGGCTGCATTGCTAGGCCGTTGGCGTCTGATTTTTTTACCTAATAAGGCAGAACCAAAAAAATTTAGCCCAATAGGGCAAGTTTATTAAGGGATTTACAACATTTGTTACAGTGACTTGAACTCGTCATATATAGGTGATAAGTTCTAATATAAAATATTTTTATTTAAATTTTTTACCCCGATGTGATAAAAATTAATAAAAAAATATATTTTACTGGAACTTATCACATCGATGTGACGAGTTTGAATAAAAATATTTTTATTGAAACTCATCACCTCCACGTGACGAGTTTCATAAACACTGTAAAAAATATCTTAGATCCCAAAATAAACTCCTACTTATCATATTTTCCCAAATAATTTACTCGTATGTCCTATTGGGCTAAAAACTGCTAGCATCTACTTCATCGGTGGCCCATTTTACTTCAGGTTGTATGCAGGGAAGGAGCCAAAACTTAATCTTTATAGAGGCTAAATCTTTTTAACATCTTTAATTTTTGTACATAATTTTATTTTATTATTTATTTATTTTAAAAATATAAATTATAATATCAAATATGCATATCAATTCTATAATTTCTATAAACTAACAAGTAGAAAATTAGAAATAAAATTTAAGTAAGAAATAAAAAAATGATTTAAAAATATTTCAATTGAATTTGGACCACGTCAATAAATCACTGACAATCATAGTAGAATGAGCTTACTTTTGTTGTGGAGTTGATGATTTTATCGCAACATTTTATGTTAGATGAAATGAAGACTTTATAGCTTATTATCTTACGTTTTGAAAAACAAAACAAAATTTTTACAATTTTTAAGATAAACGACACGTTTAGTATCTAAATTATTAATTTTTTTTCCTGTTTTGGCACCTAAACTTTGTTGATTTCTAATTCAAATCTAGCAAAATACTAATATTTTAAGGACTAATTTTGTTGTTTCTAGTTTCTTTCAAGAACATTATGTTTACATGTGTATTAGTGAGTATCGTTAACAATGAAAAAAAAAAAGCATAACCAATTATGCTTAATTGTTCTTTACTTTTTATCCTTTGTTTATTGAATGAAATTTACAAATATCATAAAAAATGAAGCGTAGTTTAAAAATTACATCATTTATCACTCAACAATCTTCTCACTCTTATTTTGGTCACTAAAATTTAAAATTTTTAATTTAACTACTCAATTTTCAAATTACTCTCATTTTAATAACTTTAATTTATTTTATTAATAATTTTTATGGCATGACATTTATTATTATTATTTTATTAATATATAATTAAAATAAAAAATAATTTCGAAAATTAGAGTGATTAAATTATGAGAATTTTGAAAGTTAAGTAATTAAATAAAAAAATTAAGCTTCAGTGATCAAAATAGGAGTGAGAAGATAGTTGAGTGATGAATGGTGTACTTTACCAATAAAAGAGTGCCACATACAACAGGTCTGTTAAGTTTTTAACAGAGAGGTGTCAAAATGAAACAAAAAGTAAACATTAGGTATGATTTAAAAAAATGAAAGTTTAGGTACCAAAACGGGACAAAAGTAATAGTTTTGATACTAAACATGTTTACTCAATAAATAAAGTCATCAACAATCTTTAGAGCAGATGATTAAAAGCTCTCAGTTGACACCCCCTCTTCCCTAAGTATTAGTGTAACGCCCCGAATCACATGTTAGAAGTTTCGGATATATTTGATTTGGACTTTAGGATGATTACCTTTGACTCATGAAACTTTGGACCCAAATAAATTTGATTTGGGCTTGGGATGAGCCCAACAAGCCTTTAAAAGGGTGTTTTAACCTTAGCATGAAAGTGGGGTGACCAAATGAGTAAGTAACCCAATTATTCAAACAAAGGCTGAAACTCCTTAATTGTTTGATGATATCATGTTTGTTGCACCCTCCTCTTTTCCATACCATGCTTGTCTTCTTTCTCTCTACTCTTTATTTTCCTTTTTCTTCAAGAACCAAGCAAAGTTGGAAGCTTTAAGAAATTCAAGCTTCCATTATGAATTCTAAGGTAAGATTCATAATCTTCATACTTCAAGCTTTCTTTCAAACCCACTTTTGTAAGATTTGACTTAGTTAGCCAAAAATAGTTTTTAGTGGGGTTTATGAAATCCTAAGTTCTGGTTCATTTTATGGCATTTAAGTTGTAAATAAACATTTTTGGCTTCTTCCTAAGGTTTAAAATGAGCTAACAACTCATTAAACTTGCTTTGATTAGTGCAAGAGCAAGGGGGGAGCTCAAAGGCTAGAGGCAAGGAAAAGTTAGTCATTGGGTGATTTGAGAACGCTTTTCAGTCACCTAGCTTCAAGGTAACACAATTCTAACTTGTCCATACCACATGTAGATCATTTAATGTAGATGAATGGTATGTTTGTTTAGTTCATGAAAACATGCTAGAGTAAATTCATGGTGAAATTTGTATTTGTATGTTGCAAGCATGAAAGTTGATACCTTTTGACCTCTAAGACACCAAATAAGACATTAAATATGTTTACTGGTCTTAGGGGAATTAATGGGTGAAATTTGGGTGTGATTTCGTGCTCAAAACAGAGAACTTCTATCCGTCGGTATCGGTATTGAAAGAACACTACTGATACTGCTCTTCGTGAAAGGCCAAAATAAGGCTATTTTGTAAAGTGAGTATCGATACCCTTTAATTAAGTATCGATACTCAGAGGATAGTATTGATACTGGCGGCAAGTTTTAGATTTCATAATATAAATTTGGTATTGATACTCATGAGAGTATTGATATTCCCTATAGGGGTATCGATACCAAATTTAAGATATTTTTCAAAACGTTGAAGCTAAATTTGGTATCGAATCTCAGGTGAGTATCGATACCCTGGGGGTCAGTATCGATACTACTGGAACAATATCGATACTCACGGTGATTTTTGGCAAAATTGGTTCAATTGGTTTAAGTGTTCGGGCTTAGGTGTTTTGAGTTCGTATAAATTACAAGTACTCAATGCAAGTGAAAACCATCAAGTTAACTCAGTTCTCACATAGAAATCAAATAAGCTAGGATGACATAAGATTTGCCTTTGTGTAACACTCAGGAAACAGTTAGGACACCCGAGTTACTCTAGCATTATGACGGTCGTCCTTTGTTGTGAAATATTCGGATTTTATTTGTAAGGTACAAAGTCTGATGCACGTAAATTTTTTATTGTACCTTATGCTCGAGTCGCTCCTCTTTAGCCATAGATTTTGGTGACGAGTACGTCCCAGATTCTGAGCATGATGTGCCTGCGGACGCAAGAGTCGATGAGGCGAGCGTTTTTCGTGATTTGATTTTGACCCTTAAGTAGATCATTCGAGCTATTCTGAATCAGTCTTCTATATGCCTTCCCCCACCCGTACCCACAACTCAGCCTATCGTAGTGCCTCAAGAGTCCTGGATTAATAGGCTCCATAGGTATATAACCACTGACTTTTATGGTTCTAGGGACGACGATCCCATCTTTGCAGACCAGTGGCTCTGAGAGACAATTCGTACGTTATGTTAGTTGCATCTTACTCCCGAGGGCAAGCTTGAGTGTGTCACCACCCTTTTGAAAGGTGACGTGATCTACTGGTGGGAGACCGTAGAGTTGGCGATAGAGTCAGAGAGACCCACCTGAGAGCTCTTCCTGATTGAGTTCAAGGAGAAGTACATTGGGGAGTCACATACCGATGATTTGATGGATCCGTTTCTTCATCTGACGCATGGTGACAGGACCGTACTTGAGTACGAGAAAAAGGTTTCTTAGGGTTAAGCAAGTACACTCCAGATCTCATTTCGACGGAGGCTCACAATATTTGGAGGTTCAGGGAGGGCCTCCACTTGGATATTCAAAATCAGTTGGCAGCTGATCCCCCTCGTGTCTTTGTAGAGTTGACTCGCCATGCAAAAATAGTCGAGAGAATTTTAAACAAGAAAGCTCAGGTGGCGAGTGACTTAGTGGGTCAGAGTCGGAGGGCTCCGAAGTCTTCTAGGCCATCTTAGTCATTAGCGAAGCGGGCCAGAGTCCCACAGAGTTTAGGGAGACCGTCATCAGGGATAGATCATATATCAGACCGTAGAGTTGGATTCGACTCACGTAAGAGACCTTTATCATCAGCTGGTGGTTCGAGTGTCAGTAGGTATGAGTGGATACCAACTCACCCAATGTGTCTGACTTGTGGACACAGACACTCTGAAGAGTGCTATTGAGCCACTGGAGGATGCTTCAGCTGTGGGTCTTTAGACCATTTCGTCCGAGACTGCCATTGAGCTTAGAGTTCAACTTCTGCATCATCTCAAAGATTTGCACCAACCGTTCAGCGTGGCCGAAGGTCCTCAAGGGGTGGCGGAGCCACTTCAAGGTAGTACAATATAGGTGCTACCAAATTCGAGACCATCCAAGAGCCCAGGGTAGCCTCACACCAGTATGCCATCAAAGCCCAAGAGGAGTGTGATACTGCCAATGTGATTTTAGGTATCTTTACAGGTTTCTCCATTTCTTTTACTGCATTGGTAGATCCGGGTTCCACTAACTCTTATGTTTGTTATGATCTGTTACAAGAGAGAAATATCTCGGTTGAGGATTTAGAAATAGTGGTCAGAGTTTCTAGTCACCTAGGATTAGATGTTTTGGTCGACAAGGTTCACCGTCTTTGCCTCGTAGAGCTTCAGGGTGAGGTATTTTTAGCCGATTTAATGGAACTACCATTTTGGGAGTTTGATGTAATTTTAGGCATGGATTGGATTTCGAAGCATGACGCAAGTATGAGATGTAAGGCAAGACGTCTTAAACTTCGCAAGAACGATGAGACCAAGGTAGTGATGACCAGTGGGAGTTCGGGTTACACTACAAAGGTTATTTCTACAATTAGGGCTAAGAGGTTGTTGAGTTAATGAGACGTCTTAAACACAAAAGTATCCTACAAAAACAAAGTAGTCTCAAGTGCTTGTGCATAACAAAGTAAGCTCTAACTATATTTATATTCATTTCTATATGAATTTGTGAAGTTAATTGCATTATACATCCTCAAAATATGACCCTCATTTTAAATTAGTCCTCAAACTTTTGAACATTCTAATTTATCCTTAAATCATGACTCTCAATTTAAATCGGTCCCTAGGAATTTTGAACATTCTAAATTCATCCTGAAACTATGATCCTCATTTTAAATTAGTCCTCAAACTTTTGAACATTCCAATAATATCCCTTAAATCACTTAAAAGTTTGGGGTTGAAATTAAAACATTCAAAAGTTTGGGAACTAATATAAAATTAGGACCATAGTTTAGGGATGGAATTAGAATGATTAAAAGTTTAGAGAACAATTTCGAATAAGAATTATAGTTTAGGGATGAAACTAGAATGTTTAAAAATTTGAGGATTAATTTAGAATGATGATCATAGTTTGAGGATGTTTAGTGAGATTAACTCAATTTGTGCGATTTTAATATTTATATCTGATAAATTCAATTAATTATGCATTGTTGTTAAAATGTTAGTTATCTGTATTTATTTTTGGAGTTTATATTTAATGTATTGATCGTGTATATTTTATACACTTTCAGTGTGTTTTGTATACTTTCAGTGGGTGAACTAAATTATGACACACTGGGTAAACTACATCAGATACCATCAAACTTTAGTTGGTATATCGTTTATACAACTAAACTTTCAATTTTACTAATTATAACACCGAATTTTGATTTTCGTTTCAATTATATCACTGAGCCGTTAAATATTTAACGGTGGTTGTCGACGTAGGCACCTCAACAAAACGATATCGTTTTGAATCGGCTGTTAATGATTTAACGACCTAGTGATATGATTGAAATGAAAAATCAAAGTATGCTCAATTGAGTTAAATCGTTAACAACCAATTCAAACAGTTCAATCCCGATCCAGATTCAATTGAGCTTGATAAATTAAATGTCTCGTCTAAAAATTCTTGTAATAAAAAGTATGATCAATTGAGTTTTTCCGGTGAAACTTCTAGTTGTTCTCCAAGACGAACAGCGATGATTCACGATAGGAGGCCGACTGGGCTTGGATCGAACGAGGGAGACGTTTCGATTGGTGCGTGCGGCGTTGGCCACGACGACCGAGAGACCACAAAGTTCGATGGTGAACGACGACGGAATTGAAACAGTTTTGGGGGAGTTTTTTTTACTTGTTTTTAGGGATTAAAATTTGATTTGGGGAAAAAGAATTTGGGATTTTAAAATCCTCACCAGGCTTAAAATATATTTCGAATATAATATTATCAATTATAATAACCTAGCTTAGTGGTAGGGTATGGGTTATTAACGCAGGGGTCACGGGTTTGAGTCCCTTCTTATTCCCAAACTCAATTTTTTTTTTCAAATTTATTCTCATATTATTTCATTCAAAATAAAAAAGGGAAAACACACATAAGGTCCTCAAACTCATTGGGAGTCGCTATTTTGATTTCAAGCTTTGATCGGAATTCATTAAAGTCCTGAACAACTTCCTCATTTTTTATACAAAAACTTTAAAATTTCTTAAAAGTTCCATTTTTGTCCTTATTATGCCAGATAAAATTATGGCCCTAAAATCGAGGTGTGACATTTCGCTAGCCGTATCCCTCACATTTACCGATCTACCATTTGTTTATCAAGAATGTCATGAACCATGTCCTCATTATGTCTGTTAGCCTCCGGTTTGAGGGCCTTACATACCATCAAGTCTTATTCAATATCAATAATATTGGGCTAAAATTGAATATGTTTGGAGTTAGGTGACTAAAATATAAATATATTGATACTTGGGTTATCAATAGAATGTAATTTACTGAAAAAGAAGCATAAGCAGAAATTTCTAAAGTAGGTTAAAAGGTTTCAAGGGTCCACACGCACATGGATAGCCCAAATTTCAAGACATATTTTGCTGCGTTTGTCTCAACCACACAATCCATTCTCTTTCATGGAGTCTTCTTCTTTTTCCTGCTATTCTTTCCATGATTGAGAGACTTGAACGAATACATTTATGAAAGTCGGTTAAAATGTTTTTCAAATGAGATGATTTCAAGGGTCCACGCGCTCATGTATTAGCCAGCGCTTCCCATTAATAAAAAGGATACAAAAGATGATGAAGCATTATATCCAAATTTCAATCAAGATATAATTTGTCTCAACCCATACCCTTCCATGGCGTCTTCTTCCTCCTCCTCTTCTCCTCAAACAGAAACATGCCTTAACTTCATCACTCATCTCCTCACAGCTTTGAAAGACAGGGTAATGAATGTCATCTTCCGTAAAGAAACACCGAGAAAAGGCGAGCAACATTCGCAAGCACTTCCTCAAGCAATCGGTTCATCTTCCTCCTCTTCCCATGAAAGGAACCATCAAGTTTTTTTGAGCTTTAGAGGCGAGGACACGCGCCTTAACTTCACTGCTCATCTACTCAAAGCTTTGGAAGACAGAGGAGTATCTGTTTTCTTCGACGAAAAGGATCTGGAAAAAGGGAAGGAATATTTTTCACGAGCACTTTCTAAAGCAATTGCAGCCTCAGAAATCTCATTAATTGTTTTATCTAAAGACTATGCTTCTTCGAACTCATGCCTGGATGAACTCTTCCACACCATGGATCGCAAGCGCAAGTATGGAAGAACTGTTATTCCCATATTTTACCATGTTGATCCTTCTCATGTGAGAAATTTTGTTGGGCGTTTTAAGACATGCTTCGAAAAGCATGAGAAAAGCAGGCCAGTTGACCAGATGAGGCGATGGAAAGCTGCCTTCGCTGAAGTCGGTGAAATACCAGGATGGCATATAAAAGGAGGCAAAGTCGATAGGTAAACTATACTTATTTTTCTCGTATTCTTATATCTGACTTATCTCTGTTTCTTGATTTTATACATGATTATATGTATATTGATGTTCTGCTAGACCTGAAACTGAGTACATTCGGGAGATTGTCGACGATGTTTCAAAAAAATTGATGAATAAGAGGTCTAGAAATGTTTCTGAAGAAATGGTTGGGATAGATGATCAGAAACAGGCAATTTTGGGTCTGATTGAGCAAAAAGACAGTCGGATAATAGGACTCTGGGGAATGGGTGGTATAGGCAAAACTACCCTAGCTGATGCTGTCTACAACAAAATCTTAGTAGACTTTAAACGTGGTTTCTTTCTCTTAAATGTTAGTGAGAAAATTAAAAAGCAAGGAAGGGAGTCTTTACGAAATGAACTTCTTTCCAAACTATTAAGCGAGAAAGAAATTCGTATAGACACCCTTTCAATAGGATCTCCTTACCAAGAGAGGCTGAATAATGTAAGAGTAGCCGCTGTCTTCGATGATGTTAGTCACCCAGACCAGATAGATTTTATGGGTGTTAAACATTTTGGTCATGGAAGTAAAATCATTGTAACATCTAGAGATAGACATGTACTCAAGAATGTAGGAGTTGACAAAATATATGAGGTAAAGAAGCTGGATGTGGACGACTCTCTTCAACTTTTCTCTACGTTTGCATTTAAACAGTTCAATCCTGATCCAGATTTTCGAGATCTGTCGAACAAGTTTTTAGAATATGCCCAAGGAAATCCACTTGCTCTCAAAGTTTTGGGTTCTGAACTACATAAAAAATCTAGAAAAGAGTGGGAAAGTGAGATGCATAAGCTAAAGGAGTACGGCCAGCCAGAAATTTCCCAAGTTTTGAAGAGTAGCTTTGACGGGTTGGATGAGCTAGAAAAGAATATATTTCTTGATATAGCATGCTTCTTTAATGGGGAACCTATGAAAAATGTAGAAAAAATTCTAAGCTGCTTGTATAAGGGTGCAGTCAGTGGAATAAGCAACTTGGTCGACAAGCATCTACTTGATATATCGCCTATTAAAGATATCCCTGTACATGAAAGGCTTGGAAAGGCAGAAGAGTTCAGAAAGCGCTTCAAAGAGTACCACCGGTTAAAAAATCATGGTTGACAACTAGGCGTTGTAGGGTCATAGGGGCCGGAATAACCAACTTCCTCGATCAATCTATTTCTATGCATGATATGCTTGCAGAGATGGGCAAGAAGATTGTTCGCCAAGAATCTAAAGATCCAGGAAATCGCAGCAGGTTATGGATTCTCGAAGACGTGTCTCAAGTGCTCCTGCATAACAAAGTAAGCTCTAACTGTATTTATATTCATTTCTATATGAATTTGTGAAGTTAATTGCATTATAAATCCTCAAAATATGACCCTCATTTTAAATCGGTCACTATGAATTTTGAACATTCTAAATTCATCCTGAAACTATGATCCTCGTTTTAAATTAGTCCTCAAACTTTTGAACATTCCAATAACATCCCTTAAATCACTTAAAAGTTTGGGGTTGAAATTAAAACATTCAAAAGTTTGGGAACTAATATAGAATTAGGGCCACAGTTTAGGGATGAAATTAGAATGATTAAAAGTTTAGAGTTCAATTTCGAATAAGAGTTATAGTTTAGGGATGAAACTAGAATGTTCGAAAGTTTGAGGATTAATTTAGAATGAGGACCATAGTTTGAGGACGTTTAGTGAAATTAACTCAATTTGTGCGATTTTAATTAGAATTTATATCTGGTGTATTGTCTATGTAAATTCAATTAATTATGCATTGTTAAAATGTTAGTTATCTGTATTTTTTTTGGAGTTTATATTTAATGTATTGATCCTGTATTTTTTATACACTTTAAGTGGGCGAACTAAATTATGACACACTGGGTAAACTACATTAGATACCACCGAACTTTAGTTGTTATATCGTTTATACCACTAAACTTTCAATTTTGCTAATTATAGCACCGAACTTTGATTTTCGTTTCAATTATATCACTGAGCCATTAAATAGTTAACGGCGGTTGTAGACGTAGACACCTCAACAAAACGATGTCGTTTTGATTCGGTTGTTAACGATTTAACGGCCCAGTGATATAATTGAAACGAAAAATCAAAGTCCAGTACTATAATTTGCAAAATTGAAAGTTTAGTGATATAAATGATACAACGCCTAAAGTGACTTCATTTTTAGTTGAGTGTCATCATTTAATTCATTAAAAAGGTGTATGCTCATAAATTTTTTTAACGAGTGATGTAATGGAATGATTATAAATTTTTCTATGCTAATATTTGATAAATTGTTTTTGTTGTTAGGGGACCGACCGAATTGAAGGAATGAAGTTAGATATGTCTGAAATTGATAATCTAAAGTTTTTCTCTTCTGTTTTTGAGAAGATGCATAGTCTTAGATATATCAATTTCTATTTCCCTCCATTTAGTGTTGGGAAGTACAAGAAGCTGCATGCAGACCAAGTTGGTATTTTATATCTTCCTGATGAACTAAGGTTTCTTCATTGGGAGTATTACCCATTTAAATATTTATCATCAAGTTTTAATCCAAAGAATCTTCTTGTGTTGAAATTATCACATGGCGACATAGAACAACTTTGGAACGAAGATAATCATCAGGTGAGTGAATTTATACATGGTCAATACATCAGATATTATTTTATTTTGTTCTTTTCATTTTCATTATCGCCCGAAGTAGACAAGTGATACAGCTATTTTCATTGCACAGGGTCTTGCTAATTTAAGGGAAATTGACCTTTCTCATTGTAAGAATTTAAGAAAGATTCCTACTCTGTTGGGGGCGATCCACCTTGAAATCCTTTGCTGTAAGGGATGTGAAAATTTGGTTGAACTTCCTTGCCTCAGTCATTTGTCATCCCTTAAAAGAGTAGAGTTCCAGGGATGTCATAAACTCAAGAAATTTCCGGAGGTCCCAGATCATCTCTCGTTGCACTGTTTAGAAGAAACAAGTATAGAAGAAGTTCCTGATTCAATTGAGCATCTGGTTCGTCTTAGAAAGCTGTGTTTGAGAAACTCGAGTGTTAAAAATGTGTCGAAGAATATTTTGAAGTTGGAATCCCTTCATTGTCTGGACCTTAGTCATTGCCCAATCACCAAATTTCCAGAAATCCCAAGAAGCTTAAAAGAATTATACTTATCTGGCACCCAAATTGAGCAAGTGTCCCTGTCTTTCCACTCTTTAAGTATTCTTCAATACTTGGATATGAGGGGCTCAAGTATTCAAAAGCTACAATGCAATATTGACATCTCTGGTTCGAATGAGATTTCAACAATTGAGGTGCCCTCATCGATCTTAAGCCTTGGATATTTGAAAATTGATTACTGCAAGAGTCTCGAATTACTCTCAGAGCTCCCACCATATCTACGGTACTTGGACGCACATGGCTGCACATCATTAGAAAAGGTATCCTTCACAGATCAAAATCAGCATCTGTATGAACCATTTTCTTTTGATGTTGATGATGACTTTTTCATGATATTCTCTAATTGTTTGAGCTTGAATCAAGATTCAATTGATAACATTGTGGCAAATGCCGCACTCAAAATTGGATCCATAGCAGAGAAATGGGTTAAGAAAAATGTTTATGGTCCAAGAAGATTGATTTGCTGTTTCCCTGGAAACGATATTTCAACAAGCTTGTTTGAGTATCAGAGCATGAATTCTTCATTAATTTTGAAGATAGACCCCAACAGGTGTAGTGGTGGGAGCAGATACTTGGTGTTTTCTATCTGCCTTGTGGCTGATCTCACGCATGCCTCAAAATGCTGTCATTTTGAATGTAAATTTAAATTGACAACCTCCGGTGGTCGTTGCTACTGTTCTAGCTGTGGGTGGTTCAATGAACTAGATTTTCAGAAAAAGCGTCGGTACGTGGGTGATCACGTGTTGATTCTTTTTAGCGGTAATATGATTAAAAAAGACGAAGGTTATGAGGAGGCTTCATTTGAATTCTACAGTGACGAAGAGGGTTATCAGGTGGAGAAATGTGGTGTTCATGTATCTTTTGTTGATGCCGAGTGTGTTGAGGAAGTTTATGCTACAATGGAGAAGAAGCGGATTGAGGACCTGAATTGGAGGAGAGAGAATACTTATGAAAAATACCGTCCAAATGGATAGGTGAGGAGTTTCATTTTCTTTAGTTGAATTATACGAGGTGATTATAAGGTAGTATCTTTTCATAAATTTTCTTAACCTATTGATAACGCTCGCATTTTAACAATCTTTGATTATTTTTTTATTTTCTACCGAATTCTTAATATCCATAATCCATCATCGTTATAACAAATCTTACATGATAATCCACGTGTATTTTACCAAGTAAACTTGTCAATTCTCATATATTTATAATAACCCCAAGTCTATTCTTGCCAGAATAAAACAAGCCAAGACAAGCAAAGTGTCATTGCCATTTTCTCTCTTTTGCTTCAATAACAAAATCAGTATTCTATCATGGCTTCTTCTTCCTCTTCTCCTCCAATGAAGCATCAAGTTTTCTTGAGCTTTAGGGGTGAAGACACACGTCTCAACTTCACTATTCATCTACTCGAAGCTTTGAAAGCCAAGGGACTTGATGTCTTCTTCGACGAAGAAAAATTGGGAAGAGGAGTGGAGCTTTCACCAGCACTTTCTCGAGCAATTGCAGCCTCAAGACTCTCCTTGATCATTTTATCTAAAGATTATGCATCTTCAAAATCATGCTCGACATAACTCTGTGACATCATGGACCACAAGAGCACTCGTGGTCAAATTGTTCTTCCCATCTTTTACCATTTTGATCCTTCCCATGTCCATAATATTGGTGGCCATTTTAAGAAATCCTTTCAAAAGCATGAATCAGATAGGACAATTGATGAAGTGAAACGATGGAAAGCTGCCTCTGTTGAGGCCGGAAAATTGAAAGGGTGGCATATAAAAGGAGGTGAATTCAACAGGTAACTGTATGTGTCTATATATATACAGTCCTTATCTTCTTTATTTGACTTAGCTCTGTTTTTAGATTCCATATATGTTTTTGTTTGATTATTTGGCAGACCCGAAACCGAGCACATCAAGAATATTGTTGAATATGTTATATAAAAGTTGATGAAGCATCAAGTTTTCTTGAGCTTCAGAGGTGGACACAGGCCTTGACCTCACCGCTCATCTACTAAAAGCTTTGGAAGAAGCGGGAATAGATGTCTTCTCCAAGAAAGGGGAACAAGTTTTTCTGCCAAATCTCTCGATGATTGTTTTGTCAGTCAACTATGCTTCTTCAATATCATGCTTGGACAATCAAGGACAAATAGTTGGGAGAACAAGTTTTTTCTGCCAAATCCCACGTGCGAAGTTTTGGTGGGAGTTTCAAAGCTTCCTTTGATGACCATGAATCAAAAGGGCTGCATCAAGTACAACAATGGAAAAAGGCATTAGCTAAAGTTGGAAAACCAAAAGGGTGGCATATAGGAGGAAAATTCGTCTGGTGACTATCATTACATATAGATATGCCCTCAATAGGATCCAGTTTTATCCATGAGAGGCTCCACAATAAAAGAGTAATCATTTTCCTTGATGACGTTGATGACTCGGATCAAATAGCATGGATGGGTATTAAACATTTTGGTGATAGAAGTAAAATCATGGTAACATCCGGAGATAAACAAGTGCTGAACAATGCCGGAGCCGGCAATAGTATGCATGATGTGAGAAAGTTAAATGAGGAGGATTCTCTTCAACCTTTTTCTACTTTTGCATTTAAGCAATTGACTCCTGCTGCTCATTTTCTAGATCTATCCTACAACTTGCTCTAAGAGTTTTGGGTTCTAAATTATCTTAAAAGTCTGAAAGCGAGGTCGATAAACTAAAGCCCTCCAAGATTTTTAATTGCATCATTCTATGTCTTCGTAAATTAAAATCTTAAATTATAAACACTAAGTTAGTATTTATAGGTAATAGGGATATGGTTTAGGATTTAGGGTTTATAATTTAGAGTTATAAGTTAGGGTAGAGTTATAGAATGATGCAATTGAGCAACTTCGAGGGTTAAATTGATGTAAAAATACAATTGAGCCTTACATGGTACTGTTTGACCCAAAGAAAACGGGCCAAATTTTGGCTAAAATATATTATCCAATCAAAATTATTAAGCTTAATTCACTTTTAGGTTTCTAAAATGTATTTCAAATTGAATTTGTGTTTAAAGTATTTTTTTTGTAAAAATTATATATATCTATTTTTTTACATTATATTTTTAAATGTATATCGTTAAAAAATCTGTTAAGTAACACTTACAACATTAATTTTTCAAAATAAATAAATAAATAATATTTTATTTTTTTAAGCAAATCAACAAAAAATCATAAATGTGGTGTATATCGCTTAACGTTCTTTTTATAACGATAAATATCTAAAAGTGTAACAGAAAAATATTAAGCAAAAACTTATTTTTTATCAAAGATTTCTTTAGATGTTAAAATTTAATTTGAAGTATAATTTATGTACTTAATTTTGAATTAAGCCAAATTATTATTCAAACCCATACTCCTTGTTAGGCCTGTAAATGAACTGAACGTTCAGCGAACCGTTCATGAACCGTGCGGCGGGAAGTTCGTTTATGTGCGTTTATTTATTAAATGAACGAACATGAACAAGATTTTGTGTTTGTTTAATTAAATGAACGAACATGATCATAGGTCTCGTTCGCTCATTTACGTTCGTGAACGTTCGGTTATGTTTGTTTATGTTCGTTCGGTTATGTTCGTTCGGTTATGTTCGTTTATGTTCATTCATTTATGTTTAACCCAATCTTCTTTAATCAATTTTGGTGACCAATTTGTAAGTATCTTAAAAATATTAATTAATCTGATATTCTGATGACCAATTCCATAATTAACCCAATTTTATTTGAAAATTAAATCTACTATGTTAACCCGTGAGGCACCTCACACCTATATTCATTTTCCCCTTTTTTTTCCCAAACCCTAGTGTTCACTAGAGAGTGGAGACGATCGCTGAAAGCTTCAAAACAAGTTATATTATAGTGCAATCTAAAATTTTACAGGTATGCTTTCATCTATTTCTCTATTTTATTTGCCTTAATAGTTGATATGTAAAGTAATTGCGGGTATCTTCACATCTAAAACTCAAGAAAACATCATACTTCTTTTTAGAAATATATGGGAAGATAAAGATAACAATCGGAAGTATATGAGCATCAGTAAAGAGAAAAATATATATAGTGGAGTAGACTTTAGGTACATTAAAATTTTGAATGGTGGTTTAGCAATAATATCAGTTACGATATGTAGCATCGAAGGGATTTTGGATCTATTTTATTGCCTTGTAGTCCAATTTGTACCGTTCGAAATCTTCATGTTGTTAAATTTTCTACTCTGCCAACGGAAATGACCATTATTAACAAACCTCACTAAAGTTTGACATTGATATCACAAAACTTTTAGCCGACGAATTTATTAGAATAACGTAGTAGAAAATTATTGTTCATATGTAATCATGGACCACTAAGATAAATGTTATATCGTTAAATTAAAGTCGTGTGAATCATTTAATATATTTAAAAGATCGATCGAAATATTTGATATCTTCAAACATTTCATCACTGCTAATAAGCTCTTACGCTATTTATCACTGTAGATTTGGTTGATTTGCATTGTCGACTATTTTTCATGAAAGAACAATGGAAGGTAGGGTTTCCAACGTTTATGTTCGTTTATATTCGTGTTCATTTATGTTCGTGTTCGTTTATGTTCGTGTTCGTTTATATTCGTTTATTTATTAAATGAACGAACATGAACAAATTATATTCCTTAATAAACGAACATGAACAAAAAAAAATTTGTTCGTTTATGTTCGTGTTCGTTTATGTTCGTTTATTTATTAAATGAACGAACATGAACATACCTCCGTTCGTCTGCGTTCCGTTCGCTTACAATCCTACTCCTTGTTTCTCTTTTCGCTTGCTTACTTCACTGAAACCGAAAGGAAAATATCGGGATGAGAAGATGGCTGCCGGCGAGCGCACCGTTTTGCAGTTTAACGCTTCGTCAACGGCGAGTTTGCGGCGAAGGTTCATCCGCTCGTCATATTTAGCATCTGCAATTGTTACGTGAGGCGTCCAGACTAAGCGGAGCGCGTCCTCTGCTCCGTACTCCCGGACGGCACCGTGGATATCCGTAACTCCTAAGCTGTTCCTCATACGGAGTCCGCTGAACAGGTCTCTTAATGTTTTTTTTTTCCTTCGAAAATTTTGTAATTTTTTTTGGTTTAATTTGGCTAAAGAACTGTTTAGCTTGCAACTAAATGTGGATGCTTAATGCTATTTTTAGTTAACATTATTAGGATAATAGCTGAAACTAAAGGGGGGAAAACGAGATTAAGGATGCCAATATTAGGTGTTCTTTGTACGTTGAATTTATTTCTAAGTACTTAATAGTTTTAGAATTACAATGAATAAAGGGTAGGCTTCTATCATAGATATCATATGATTAGCTTGGTTTGAAATAATTTCATGATAACATGAAGACTTAGTATGAGTTGTGCGTGCTTATCTTGTCTAGTTTTGAATTTCCGGTGAGGTTCGCTTTTTTTGTAGCTATGGAATCGAGCTTAGCAGACTTGAATTGGTGAATTTTGTACCGAATTCGAAGATATTTGAGAACATGATTTGGTATAATATGACAAGTGATTAAGTCTTTACATTGCCTGACTAGGTGAAGATGGAATCATTTCATGTTTTTATCGGTTTTGGTAATTTTTCAATTTGGTATGTTTGCAGGTTGCTCTGGATATCGAATACCATCATAATATGTTACTCTCCCACCAAAAAGTGAATCCTAAAGAAGTTATTGTCGGATGGTAATTCTCATCTTTCTACGAGTTTTCTTGTTTCTCTTGGAAAAGAAAAATCAACGGTTCTTGAAGCTCGTCGGTAATATTTATTTCTTATGCAAATCAAAGACTAGTTGTATTTAAATCATCCCTTGTATATGTTCTTTCTTCCGTTGTCGCAATTGATTGACTGCCAAATGCGAGCCTGTATATGCCCATGTTAGTAGCAACTTAGTTATTAGTTTTGTGTGACTTGTCAGGTATTCAACTGGGCATGGAGTCACAGGCGGGAAGTGCACTGATCCATGATTTTTATTCTAGAGAAGTACCTAACCCTGTACATTTGACAGCGGATACAGGGTTCAGGAACGGAGAGGGTACCGTAAAGGCTTACGTTTCTGTCAATTTAGCTCTTGGAGACCGACAACTTGCCGCTCAATTTCAAGAAATTCCTCTTGATCTGCATACGGTTGAAGCTGAGCGAGTTGGATGTATGTATACACAGACTATGATACAATATTGTTTACATTAATATACTGTTTGTTCTCTCTTTCTCTTAAAGAAACACAAACACATGCGTTCGGACTTAAGCATAGTCCTCCAACATCTCCACTCTTACATCTATAGTGCGTTCAGGATAGATGAACGTTATGCAACGTAATCGAGAATATTTTGCTTTGGTACAATCTAATCATGTAAATATGTTGCAAAAACAGTCGACATCCTCAAGACAACAGCGGTCGACAAACTTCCAAATGATTTGGAAGGGATGGAAGTCACAATGCAAAGGCTATCGACTTTGATAGACGATGTCTACAAATATGTCGACCATGTTGTGGTATGTAATCTAACTCCATCTTCAGTATTTTATTGTCAGCTGCTGTCTTACATAACATTTTTATTTTCATTCTCAGGAACGGCGAGTTCCTGCCGATAACAACATAGGTAGATTTATACGAGATACGGTATCTTCCCTACCTAAACTATCCCCTCCAGCTTTTGACAAGCTCATGAATGGGAGCCTACAGGTAAGATGAAAGTCTGCCCTCATTCCAAGTTAATTTTTAGTACCGATGGTCAATGGTCCCGAAACGATGTAATTCATAATCACGTTCCGAGTCGTCGAAATTGCCGATTAGTTTCTAATTTACTTTTAACTAATAACCCTGATTTTTAACCACTTATTTCTAGTCCCGAGTCGTCGAAATTGCCGATTAGTTTCTAATTTACTTTTAACTAATAAACCTGTTTTTTAACCACTTATTTATAATATATTGATTGATTAATTCCGACAGAATATTACATAGTATTACTTTAGTGAGTCTAATTTAACACCTGTTCTTAATAACTTTCTACTTTTCTGAAAAATTCGTGTGTAATTAATGGACACTATAACTATACATTTGGGACCAAATGGAATTACATCATTACGGCATAGAAACAATAACTAAAAAGTTAACCAAATGTGTGACACAAAATAAACATAAAAACGTAACATGAATGTTAATCTCTGTAGCATAAATTATTAAATTATTGTCATTCATTAAACTTATGGTGTAATGGTAAAAGATTTTTGTTAAATAAAATTTTATTTGACTTGAGATTTATCATTTTGTTATAAGAAATAATACTTAAATTCTGAGAATCAATATAAGCGAAAAAACCCCCTTAAAGGGGACTGATTGACATTATACATAAATATTACTAGAATAAAGCTAAAAAAAATTGTGCAAAAGGGTTGTTAATTTTTAGGTGTAAAAATATAATTTTTATTTATTTAAAAAAATATGAAATTTTAGTTTTAAAAAACCAACAACCAATTGGCCTAGTGGGAAGAGGTACTAGATCCTTTAATCAATGTCAGGAGTTTGAATTCTGGCGATTGCGAATGGAGTAAATTGGGTTAGAATGGTTGCCCTTGCCTTTGCAGTACCCGATCTGGATTAATAGATTAACAGATCGAAAACTGGTGGTTATACAAAAAAAAATTAGTTTTAAAAAGTAACAATGATAAATATTACAAATCCATATTTGAAAGAAAAAAGAACTTACACATGCAATGGCACAACTCAATAAGATGATGGTTTACGTGATCAATTATAAATAGGAGGTTTTTTTAATAGTAGCTAGTATTATTAAAAAGTGAAA